GACAACTTGGGGTAAGTGCAGGTGGGCAACAGGGTCCGCAACAGCAGCTGAAGCAGTGACGTCACAGGGAGGGCGGGAAGGGGTTAACGGCCGCCGAGATGGTGACGTCACAGGGAGGGCGGGAAGGGGKTAACGGCCGCCGAGGCGGTGACGTTACAGGGAGGGAGGGAAGGCGTTAACGGCCGCCGAGGCGGTGACGTCACGGGGAAGGCGGGAACGGGTTAACGAGCGGCGAGGCGGGAGCGCGGAAAGCGCCGCGTGACGGGGTCAGGCGGAGCGTCGCCGCCAGCCCCGCCCCTTCCGGCAGGCGGTGCCGGAAGCGCGGCGGAGCGGCGGCCGCGCGGGGGCCGCCACGGGCTCGGGTCTCTGGGCGCCGCCACCAGCGCCTCTTCCTCCCGCCCCCTCATGGCGGCGGCGCGGGCGGGCGCCGGCCCCTCCCCCCGCCCGCTCCGGCCTCCCCCGCTGCCCTCTGCTCCTCTGGGTCCGCGCGTGGCGGCAGCAGCGGCGGCGGCGGGGCCGCTCCCGGCGGGGATGTGAGGGCAACGGCCGCAGGTGAGCGGCGAGGGGCGGCAGCGGGAGGCCCGGCCTCGCCCGCGGGGAGAAGAGGGCCGGGTGACCGTTGGGGGCCGGGTGACCGTTGGGGGCCGGGTGACCGTTGGGGGCCGGGTGACCGTTGGGGGCGGTCGTCGCCGGGTGCCGCCAGGCCGCGGTGCTCACGCGTGTCCGTCAGGGCCCCCGGCGCCTGGAGGCGGGTTGCTGCCTAGTAGGAAACCGATCTGGCCCTGGAGACCGCGAAAATAATACTTTAAAAAGGCTCTCAAGTTACTTTCTTCGATAAGTGAAAAGCAAGGGAGATGGAGTAACTGCAAGGTTTCAGATGAGAGGGAGTCTCTAAGGAAGATCTAATTTAATTATCCTGCTAATTTGTTACTCAGGTGTTTGGAAGACAAAAAAGCTTTCTGTTTTTTAAGGCATAGCTAGACAATGTGCTGAGTCTTGTGTTTGTCTTGCATGAAAATGAGCAGGATCCCAGCTGAAATTATGGACATACTTTTCACGGAATCTCTACCAGCTTTCTGGTGGTAGAGATAGCTCCTCACTACAGCTGAAAACGTCAATTAATATTATTTTAAGTTTTAGAAAACCTCACGCTGATTTTTTAAGAAGCAAGTGCCTCTGGGTTTCAGAGCAGAAGTGGTATATATAAGCTTCTTCCAAAGGCTCACAGTGGACCAGTGAGTTGCATTTTGTTGTCAGGGAGTTTTTCTGTCTCCTGTCGCTGTAATCCTGTGGAGGGAAGCGAGGGAGCGGGTAGTAAACCATGAGCATTTGTGAAGAATCAGTATGTTGATTCAGTCCACTTTTCTCCTATAGAAAATACCCTATAGATAGGAGGGTATTAAGTAGATGCTCTAATTCAAGGTCCGAAACCTAAAGCTTACGGTGGAGTTTTTCTGAATAACCAGAACTGAATATAAAATACTGTAGTTGTGCAAAAGGATGGCTGTATCTGGAATATTACTAATTTCTTGTCCAAAGAGAGTTTTATTTGAAAATCCTTTCATAAAGCTATTGTTTGAAACTTATGCAGCTTAATATTAGGGCTCTGAATGAAAGGGTAAAGAAGCACTTAGTTTGTTGATGGCACTGATCAGGAGAGGTTTGCCAGTGTGCAAAAGTCGAAATATCCAGATGAAGTGGGAACAGTTATGAAAATAGAAGTGCTATTTACAAGAAATACACAAAAGTTATTGAGAAATAGTTATGTAGGAAAGAATTTGGATATTTTACGAATTTATGGGTCAAGATCAGTCTACAGTAGATTGCTGCTCAGGAAGGGCCGAGACCATCTCCCATGTGGTTCTAGATAAAAAGAGGGGTAGCCTTCTGCTGTGTTGCAGAGGTGATAAGGGCCCAGCTAAGACTGTATATAGCTTTGGGTGCACCTCATAAAGCGAGGGCTGGTGGGAAGGGACACAGTAGGAGTCCCACTAGCCCAGTCTTGCAGGGAGAAATAAGATTTTGCTGCAGAGATAGAGGCACTCCCTATTTTTTCAGTCCAGTGTGGAGGAGCAGCCAAGGGGCGTCAGGAGCCAAAGTGAAGAGCTAGATTAAATAATGAGTTTCTAATGGTATCAAACAGTGAGGCACGTTTGACATGATGTTTGTGACTCTTCCTTCGTGAGGATTTCATGGCAGGTTCTTGTCTGAATCCTCTCTAATGAAGTGCAGCAATGGCGAGTGATGCTGTACTTGGGCAAAAGGCCTGTGAAAGTCCTGTCTAACTTCATCATACTCACCCTTAAAATCAATGTTTAGATGAGAAAATGCAGAGTTCTAACACTTAAATAGTTTAGCATATTTTTAGGTTATTTCTAGGAGAAAAAAACTCTCGATTTACTCATGAAGACTGGTGGCCAGGTAGGCTAAAGGAGAACACTTCCCCCTACTGCTGCTGCTGCCTGTAATTACAGCCACCACACGATGATCAGCTTGGAAAGGCGATGACAGATCTTTCCTTTAGCTGATAACTCCCTCACGCTGTAACATGTTATTTCACCTTATATCACTTTTTAGTGGCTTTGGGTATTTAGAAAGCTTATCTATATTTGATAGGATAAATATTTAACATCTTTTGAGCTGTGTGTCTGTGTGTTCCTCTATTAGGAAAGGAGAAGTTTTGAGCAAAGAGGGAAAGTGTTTTCTTAGTGATTTAGCCCAGGCAGTTGTTTCTTATATGCAGCTTTATTTGCCATTTGTGATTCTCCTCGTTACATCCTAAAAATAAGCTTTGTGGCTGATAGGGGCTTGTTTGTGTCGCAAAACCCATGTCCCAAACCCCATATTTTTTCTCCTTCCTCCCTGCCTGCTGATTAACCSCCAGATTCGATGCCTTCCCTGGGCTGTTGCTCAGCATGCTGTTGGGCACCTTCTGGTGGTAGCTGGACCACGGGCAGTTTGGAGGTAGATGGTTCTTCAAGGTCTTCCTTGTGCAGATAGGAAAGCTGTGGCCCCCCACAAGTCTTYGAAACCAGAGATGTAAGCTGCTGTTCCTGCACAAAACTGCTGCTAGGCTGGAGTGGTTGAAGTATTCTGTATGTTAAATCCATTGTGAACTTGGGTAAAGAGCCTTTGCAAAACTGCACCAAATACAACTGAAATGACAGTTAGCATTATTTCTCTCTTAAATCTTACAGCTTCCCTCCCATGATGGCCCAGGTTGCTGGAATACAGCAGTGACATATCCCAGAGCTGAAACTGGAGAGGAGGATAGATTCCAGAAACCATTTCATATCGTTCTGTTTTCTTCAGAAATGAGATTTTTCTAGATGGTACTTATGAACATACATTAGTTCCTCTTTTGCTAGATTTTGGGGTTATAATTAAACTGTGCGTCTACCCCTGAACTTCATGTGCCTGCTCTTGCTTTGACTTGGCAGCTCTGCATGTCCGTTCCCCAAATGCAAACTCTTCTCTATATGCAAAGTGAAGCAAATCTCATCAGAGAGGAACTGCCTTCACTGTGACTGTGCTGCACAAATGCTCAGCAAATGTAGACCTCTTTATAACCCTTAAGTCGAATTATGACCTTCCAGCCCATGCAGAAAAAAAAAAAGTGAGAGTGTACCATCTTTGAGGGATTTTAAGTCCAAATTCACAGCATTACCTTCTGTCTGTTGCTGTGCAGTTTATCCTCATTCTTCTGCAGTCAGGTTCAGAGGAAAGGAGGCTGCTCCTCTTCCCTTGTCTCCTGAAAGCAACGGGTGGCCGATGCCTGGACAGAGTGAAGTTGTGCTTTTACTTCTGACAGGAATGTTTTTGTGTGGACAAAGTTAGGGGAGAGAGGGGGAGAGAGAAAAAAAAGAAAATAAAAGTGGGTTTGCCAGTGTGGTGAATTCTGTTTTGGTAAAAAGCTGYACTAGCAGCAGTGTTCTTGCTTAGTGCTGTAACTAGCGTCACTTCTACTGGAAAAAAATCAGTGGTTTAGAAAGGCTCAACGAAAGAAACCCCCTTCCAGCTCATCCTCCCCAGTGGTAATATCAGTACCACAGTTTACATCAGCTGGCACTGGTAGACTGCTCTTAGCTGGGTTGTTTGAGAGGTGTGACTTGGAACTGCCAGAAAAGGTGGTAGAGAAAATTTCAAATTCAAATTTCAAAGGTGCTGCTTTTTTTTTTTTTTCCTTACACAAAACATGACTTCTTCAGAGGACTCGAAGCCTTGCTTTAAAAAGGGATCTACTTGATACAGTTACTGAGGTGACTTGTTCTGGTGTCTCCCRCGTCTTTTGGGTATTAATTTGGTGTTTTTATGATACAAGAATCTATGTGTATTTTTTTTAAGGAAGTCACAAGAAAAGGGAAACAGATACTTACCCCTTGTTAATCAAATCAAAAGCTTGTAATGTGACTTGCCCCATATGCCATACTTCTGTATGCAGGAAATAAATGCTATTTTTAGAACATATATGGTTTGAATTCCTGGAAAGTAAAACTTATTTTATTGGTAGATGTTTCCTCCCTTTGGAACAAGAGGAAGCAACCATATTTATTGATTGTCATAAAATCAAAGCCTAGGAATAGTTTTCACTTCCTGCCACACTGGAGAGATTAATCAGATGACTGAAAATATTTAGAGTTGATTTTTCAGATTAAAAACAATTTATGGACATCTTAAATCCAGAGTCTTAAATGTCAGAGGAAATCCRAGATGATTTCTCGTAGCATGTTGAGAAGAAAACATACACTAAAGTAAATTTTCTAGTTAAGTTGGTGTGAAGAATCAAAAACTCTTGRTTTTTGTTCTAAAAACGTGTTTCTGCCTGTTGTTCATGATCATCCCACATGACTAAATTCGGAATCTTACTAGTCCCAATGAAAGCTTTTCAACAGTAAGCGCAAAACTGCTATAAGTGAAAAGATGCTTCATGCAGGTTTTTGAAATTCTTTGTGAAGTAGAAAGATCAGTAAAGATCAGCCTTTCTTTCCTGGGTTTCCYTTTGATTAGTGAGAGGATGGCTGCCTTGCAGGCCTCTTGAGCCTGTTGGTGCAAGAGAAGCTGCTCAGTGGTTAAGCATCTGTTCTAATCTGCTCCTTCGTTTTCTTCCTAGTGGGATTATGTGGAAGAGATGCTGTGGTTTTCCTCAAACTCTGTTATAAACTAATTTCCATGTGAGTAATTGATCCATGTCAATATGCAGGATATAGAAYTGAGCATATAGAAAATAGAGAAACAGATCACACTTGAAAAAGTTTAAATATTTTTCAAACATATTTGTTTGATTGGGATTTCAGTTTCAAAATTCTGGGTCAGGTGCCCTCTGGGTGTTCAGACTTGTTAGATCTCTGGACATTTGGGGGCTTTTTTAAAAAAAAATTTCTCTATTTATATTAGCATGGACTATCTGCGTTAGAATTGTGCGCCATAAGCTGTAGATGTTCTTTTCCTATAGAAAATACACCTCTTTGGTTCAGGTTTCAGTGTTGCATCATTCTGTGTTGAGCAACAGAGGCTCTGCTGTTCACCGACCCATGTGACAGTCGTCGGGAGCTCTGCGCGATGAGCCAGGCTCGGGGCAGGTATGACTTCTACATCGGGCTGGTGTTGGCCATGAGCTCCAGCGTTTTCATCGGAGGGAGCTTCATCCTGAAGAAGAAGGGCCTGCTCCGCCTGGCTAGGAAGGGCTCCATGAGAGCAGGTAAGGACCTGCTTAAGAAACTTGCTGCCAGTAGCTTGGTTGCTTAACAGAACATTAATAAATTTCTCTCTTCCTTTGACCTTTTTTGTTAGGAAGCTACAGCATCCAGCTGAGGTGCTTAGTCCTCTGGTGCACCCAACAGATGCACCTAGCTGTGTGTGTGGTGCATGCTGCTGCATTTGCATTTTTTGCCTCCTGGGAACGTTCCTTGAACTACCTGTTTGCATGTCAGCTTCAATTTGAACTGTGCTTGTAGCTTGAACTTGGAAGCGGGAGCCTCTTCACCTACCCCTCTCCCRAAAGAATGATTCTCAGGAGTGCGACTGCATTTGAGTGTCAGGACATGGTTTTAGGCAACCAGAAATCATGCATAGAACTAAGGTGACTTCTGAAAAGCTGGTAAAATGGAGTTGCTTAAAACCCAGGAAAAGCACATCAGGAAGGTTGTAAATGGTGTTTTCAGTGAGGAGTTGATACCTGACTAAAGCAGCAAAACCCCAGCAATTTTAGCAGGTTGCTGTGCACAGTCCTAGCTTTATTTTGTTGAAGTGCCTTTAATAACATTAAATGGCCTTTGGTGTGGCTGATATTATTTTGGGAACTGATTTCATGCGTCCGCTGCAGTAGCGGTTCCCTCGCACACGCTACCACAGCCCGCTCTGTGTTTGGCGGAGGAGATCCATGTATCTGGTGGAAAGGTATCGGCAGCTCTGTCTAGCACGGAGATAGGCTCCGCCTAAGGTCTTCAAGATTTCACAAGCCCCCAGTTCCTCCACCTTTTCCCGGAATATATGTGAGGAGAGGAATGAATGTTACATGAGGTCAGAACTGGAATGCTGGCCTGGGCACAGCGTGCCCTTGGGAGCACGTACGAGTGGCTGCAGCGTCCCGGGGTCTGTCAGGAGGGGTTTAATTCACTGCCCTGCATTGCTGCTTTGAAAAGACAATGGGTGTTTGAATGGGGTGGAATTCACACTCCCTGTTCTGCAGGAAGAAAATGTCACTGTACGTTGCTGGTTACGTGTCCAAACATGTGAAGCAAGTTGAGCAGTGTTTCCAGAAAATGGGCCTCTTGGGAAATACGTAATTGGGACTTTCATATTTTAAAGGGAGTTGAAAGAATTCTCTTTCAGGGTAAAGCGGACGTGGTTCCCAGTGCCATTTCCAATACAAATAAAATGAGTAGTTTTCCAAGTAGGTTGTTGGAGGCATCTACGCATCTGAGTGAAGATTTGATGTCAATTCCTCTCACTACAGACATTAAGTAATATTTACATTAAGTAAATATTGTCCATCTTCTTTAGGRCATGGACTACAAAAATTGTTTTGGCGACCTTATCAGTAACAGTGGTTCATGTTTGCTTGTGTGTGTTTTCAAAAGAGTAATAAATATCCTTTCATTTTTAGGTCAAGGTGGCCATGCATATCTTAAAGAGTGGCTGTGGTGGGCTGGGCTTCTGTCAAGTAAGTATGAAAAATATAATTTGCATTATATAATTTAAAGAAGTGACTGTCTTGTAGATGGCAGCAGAGGTTACAAAAAGCGAGCAGGATAACATTGCTGTTGCAGGCTTCCTATCTCATTATTTGATAGATGCAGCCTTCATGATTTTTAACAACTTGTCTCACATTAGAAGCTCTACTTTATTTCTCTTTCGTGTTGGGCAGTGGAGCTAGGCCCATGTCTTGTTTTGCTTGCACGAGCATATGCTCTTTTGTTTCACAAAATGTGATAATAGTCTTTATGTTCTGCTTATACTGCTAGCTGGACACCACAATTAAACTTTCCTTTGTTGCTGCCACACGTTTGTGTCTGCAGGAGCACTTACTGTGCTTCACAGACTTGTTACAGAAGACAGCCTAACAGCCTATTATTATTATTATTATTATTATTATTATTATTATTATTATTATTATTTTACTCTGCAGTGGGAGCTGGCGAAGTAGCGAACTTTGCTGCCTATGCTTTTGCACCAGCCACATTAGTGACTCCTTTAGGAGCTCTCAGTGTTCTTGTAAGGTAAGAAAGCCCCCGAAAGCAGTGTGGTTCCAGGGAGCAAAGACGGTCCTCGCTTTGGAGCGTGTGTCACTGAAACGTGCTGCAGAGCGTGCAGTTAGTTCTTCTCTGGGAATAAAGGATGCTGATTTCGGATCTCTCTAAATGCGACGTGAGGTGGTGCTCCAGAGTAGTTGTGGTGGTGCATCTCCACCTCGACCCGTGAAAACATCTGCATTTCAAAAACACTTTGTATCAGAAAAGATGGTGTTTTTGTTCCAAACTAAAGTTTTATCTTTAAAAGATCATTTTTACATGCATAAGTGTGTATTATCCATGCAGTGTTTGAGGAGCATAAGGGAAAAATGTCTTATGGAGGTGCCAAATATCATGGGTAGTTCTGTCCATAGCAGGTATCTTGAGGCAGTTAAATTTTAAGTATATGCTGAATTAGTGGATTTGCCATCATTTTTTCCAGCTCCCTGAAAGCTGCACGTTGGAGTATGCAAGTGATATGTGCAGGCAAAATAACCTGCAAGATGATAAGCTAATTAATGTGATATTACTAATTGCATGCTGGCTGATGGATTTTTTTTTTCCTTCTTAGTGCCATTCTGTCATCCTACTTCCTAAATGAAAAACTTAATCTCCATGGAAAAATAGGGTGTTTGCTAAGTATCCTGGGATCAACTGTGATGGTGATTCATGCTCCTCAAGAGGAAGAAGTAGAAACTTTGAGTGAAATGTCCCACAAATTAGGTGATCCAGGTAAGAAAAATGTTGATCTCTAAAGTAGTTAATACAGGAAGACTTGTAGACTTAATATTCYCTAAGCAGCCTCTAATTTCTCTATGGTAGTTGCATTGCCACTGCTTTCATGTTCCAGGAAGACAGGTCCATGACTTTGTTCATGTCCAATATTGTTTATGTTGTCAAAATGAGGTAGAGATAAGAGTTTTGAGACAAATTCCATGGGCAATTGGACATGTTGCCAGTGAAATCCCCTGGCTTTGGACCATGTGTCTTGATAGGAACACCGAGATGATGGTATCCAGCTGTGCTGCTGCATTTGTTTAAAAACATATATTTTTAAATAAATTTTAACTAAGTCTTTGTAAACCCCTTTGTGAGCTCTTCTTAAAATGAAGAAGWAGGTTCCGTGATAGCTGTGTATTTGCTGAGAAGTTCTGTCTTTGAGACCACCTGATGCTTAGGTGGAAGATGAGGCTCTCACAAATACCCACCTACAAAATACTGTATCTGCAAAGCCYAGTTTCATTGTAAGCATTTGGAGAGGTCTAGCATGGAGATGAGCAAATGTAGTCCTAAGGGCTGACGCAGTGATGGGAAAGCAGGGATGAGTGAGCAGCCCGTGTGGAGGGAGCGCAGCAGTCTGACCTGGTAGTCATGCTGGTGCATTTTAGTTCATGCCCTGCGTTCTTACTTTACCTTAAAAACTGGGGTATCAACTTKGATACTGAGCGAGTGAAAAATATCACAGGGTTTTTCTACTGGTGTTGATGCGGTCGAGCGTGGGCCTCACGTGCTTTATTGGCCCACCTCAAAAGCTTCTGAGCATGCATGGAAGTAACAAGATMTCTTCTTTTTTTTTCCCCCAACTGCAGGTTTTGTGGTCTTTGCAACGCTAGTTGTCATTGTGTCTTTAATTCTCATATTTGTGGTGGGACCTCGTCACGGCCAGACCAACATCCTTGTGTACATCACCATTTGCTCCGTCATCGGAGCATTGTCGGTCTCCTGCGTCAAAGGTTTGGGCATCACCATAAAGGAACTGTTTGCAGGAAAGCCAGTGCTGAAGCACCCCTTGTCGTGGATTCTGCTGCTAAGCCTTATTGTCTGCGTGAGCACGCAGATCAACTATTTAAACAGGGCCCTGGACATCTTCAACACGTCCATAGTGACTCCCATCTACTACGTGTTCTTTACGACCTCCGTCCTGACGTGCTCCGCTATCCTCTTCAAGGAGTGGCAGCACATGGCGGCCGCCGACATTATAGGCACCTTCAGTGGCTTTCTCACYATCATCGTGGGCATCTTCTTGCTGCATGCCTTCAAAGACGTGAGCCTCACCCTGGCGAACCTGCCCGTCTCCCTGCGCAAGGAGGAGAGAGCAGCCAACGGCACTTTGCTGAGCACCTAYGAGTGCTTCAGCCACGACGAGGAGAGCCCCGCGGGCGCAGGGGAGATGCAGGCGCCCGAGAGCCTGGCGGCCCGCAGGAATGGGAGCCTCGCGGCCTTCTGAAAGGCTCGGAGTCAAGGAAGGAGCAACTCTCTAACAACTCGGGATTTGGGGGGTTGGTTTTTTCTTTTCTGCTCTGAAATGTCTGAGCTCGTCTAGGAACCGATGTACTTCTTACCAGTTCGTGTAGACAATCGTTAATTAAGTTCTGCGTTTCGTTAGTTTGGACCAAGAACACTGCGGGGATTTTTAATTTGCCTTATTTTTACTTTCAGTCTACTGAAAAGGACCTCAGACCACAGGTTCATTGCTTAAGTTATGTGTAAATACTCATTTCACTCTTCTGTTTTAAAGATGTATTGCACTAACGACAATTTTATCAAAATAAATGGCTTTATTTCTGCATTGGTGGTTAAAAAAAATGCAGTGAACCTCTCTCCTTTTGCCTTGTAGCTCAGTGAACAGTGAGYCCAAATGTATGAGAAGAAACTGTACTCTGTCCCAGTTTGTGAAAGAGGAAAAACTACAGCCAAGGAAGACTAAGCTGGCTCTGCAGGTAGTGCTGTGCTGAAGCTGTGTATTTTAAGAGGGAGGATTTAGAGGGGCAGGAATGGGCCCTGCCARGGCCAGGGGCCATGGGAGCCACCTCTGGGAGGGTGTCTCGCCCACCAYAGGCTCTTACCTCATGTTGGAGCAGATGATCTGAGCTCCAGCAGCAAAGGAATTAGACCAAGCAATAGGGGTGTGTGGGGGGGTGTGTGTGTAGGGGGTGGTTCTCTCATAAACTTGATTTTTGTTACAGTAGTTCATGAAAAAGTGGCTTAATCTGCTCCTGTATTGAAAAGCTTAACCTTTTCAGTCTAATATCCTGTTGAAATGGAGAAAAATTAGCCACCTTTGAAAGTGTAAAATAAATACTTCAGAGGATTGCAGTATGTTTAAAAGTCTCTGGGAAAAGGGGAAAAAAAAGTGATCTTAAATTACATTTTCAGAGCAGTAGTTCTACTAAATTAGAATAAGATTCTCTTATTACTGCTACTTAACTTCAAGAGTTACAATTTAGGCAGAGGAGTCTTCATTATTTTTAAATACYACTTAGAGCAGAAGCCAGGCTTTATGACCCCCTCAAGCTCTGCAGTGCAAGCCTATTCCTCAGGCATCGGCGATGCGGCTGTAGCCCCTCACAGTCAGTTTAGGGGCAACAAAGCTGATGAAGGGCAACCACAATGATTAAGGGACTGGAGCATCTCTCATATGAGGAGAGACTGAGTTGGGTCTGTTTAGCTTGGAGCAGAGAAGGCTGGGAGAGGATCTGATCAACATGTACAAGTTCAYGAAGGGGGAATGTAGGGAGGAGGGGACCAACCTCTTCTCAGYGGTGGCCAGTGACAGGACGAGGGGCAATGGGTACRAGTTGAAGCACAGGCAGTTCTGTCTGCATGTGAGGAGGARCTTCTTCCCTGTGAGGGTGCCAGAGCCCTGGCACAGGCTGCCCACGGAGGCTGTGGAGTCTCCYTCTCTGGAGGTCTCCAAACCCACCTGGATGCYGCCCWGTGCTCTGGGTGTCCCTGCTGGAGCAGGGGCYTGGACTAGATGGTCTCTAGGGCTCCCTTCCAGCCTCAGCCATTCTGTGATTGTGTAATTTGTTCCTTTCCTTAACTGAAGCCAGAAGCAGGGGAATGTTTGGTTGACCAGAAGTCATGTTGGCAGTGCTGTGCAGGCCACAAAACACGGTGCTGCTGAAAACTGTCAAAGCAGCATCTTGCAAAATGCCTGCTGCAGCACAAGTTGCAACCAGCAGCCGTGTCCCGTGGGGCCACCTGTGCCTGCGGCCCTCACTGACAGTCCCCTACTTGTTCCTGCCTCAGCAGCGACCCCTGCAGAAAGGCACCTCGCAAGGGTGCAAGCCTGGGAAAACTCTTTCCTCCAGATCAGCTCCTGCCCTGCCCCTTCCTCAGCTCCTGCCTCCATCCCATAAGACACTTACTTTCACCCACCATGGATTTAATTCTGGTGGTCTGAAACCTTCCRAAAGAGCTAAGCAAGAGAGGAGGAGGTGCAAAACCCGACTTGACACAGGCACGAGGAGAGAAATCTAGTTAAAAGGCCTCTGCTTTTAGACTCTTGCTCACTGTACTGGTTAGAGCACAGCCCRATAGCTGCACCTTGGATCAAACCTGTCATCAGCTCTGTGTGCTTTTTCCAGCCCTTTTACGTTAATGTTGGGTTTGATAAGGCAGTTTTGGCTCGATGCGAGCAGCTAAGTGATGGTGCAGCTCCACTGAAAGAATCCTGTAATATCCTGCARGAGGCCTTATGGCTGAGCAGGTTGCTTTAAAACGTCACTTTTACAAACAATTTTACTGATGCACTCACTGCATTTGCAAAGAGTGCAGTTACACTGGGGTAAATCATGATGAATTTAAGCTTATGGTGCTGGTATAGGTCACATCTCCTCACTGTGCCCAAGGGTCTCCTGGATGTGACTCCCTATCAGCTCCCTAGAAAAGCACACGCTCCCTAGAAAAGCAAGCACGAAACCCCCCCTTCTGCTTTATTAAACTGGTGCCTTTGTCAAAGCTCAGGATGCTCCCAGTCACCTCCACGGGAAGAACCTTTGAAATGGTCACTTCAATAATTAGCCTCCATTTCCCAAATTATTCAGAGCAGTTTACTCGTTTTGCGAAGAGGAAACAGAACTGACTACACAATTAGTCACAAAGCAGCAGTAGTGTTTTGGGTTTTTTAATAAAGGCTAATTAAGCAATTAATGCTCTAATACAAACAATTAGGAATTGATTTCTAAAAAAATTTCTACAGAACCCAGTTTCTCCTCTTCCACAGCTATTATTTTGATAGCTGACAAGGAAAAAAAAATGCCAGTCCAGCTTAAAATGGCCACCTCAGCCCTGGAATGCAAAGAGATTTCAAAAACAAACCTTTTTTCCTTTTCTTTTTTTTTTTTTTTTTTAACATTTGCAGGCATTTAATCAAAGTATATAAAATTTTAGTCTAGAAAAATAAGTATGGATTGTATAGAGTTACTGTGCTTGGAGGCAAAAGAGGGCAAAGCCCCACTCACATGGCACAAGGATGCTGAGAAAGGCAGATGAGATTATTTCTTAAACGTGTTGATTTTGCTTTTTTTTTTTTTTTTTTTKCTTTTTTTTTTCCATTTCTTAATCTTTTTGTCTAAATAGATGGAAAAAAATATTGCAACTAAAAGGGGACGGGGGAAGCCTAGTTGCTGGCCAGGGACTGGTGGATAGGGGGCTGGAAGCAGCGCACGTGCTCCACGGGGGTGCTCTCGCCGTCGCCAGACTTCAAATACTTGTCCAGAATAGCGATTATTTCGTCGTTCAAAATCTGGAACTTGCGAATTCTCTCAACCATTTTCTTCAAAGGCTGCAAACGTTTAAAAAAAAATACACCAAAACAAACATTAACTTACTGACAACAAGCTTTAGACAAAAAAGAAAGGCAGCAAGTGCTGTTATCTCACCTCTCACCACAATGTTGTGTTCCCCTTTCCACTGCTAATYGAGTGAAAAACAATGAAAAAATGCAGCAAGTATTTGGGGGGTTGATGATAGTGCTGCTTTTTGTACCCAAAAGGGCAATTTAGAGCAACCTTGTCTTACTCAGACAGATGTATATGAGACATGTAGGATGTCTCATATGGGATGGATGGAAGGATGCATTTAGAAAATACCAAGGAAAAATTAACTGCACATGGTCTTCAACCTCCAGCACTAGTGCTTAATTTGCTTCTCAAAACTCAAGTTTTCCACGTCCCATTCTATGAAGTTCCCCTTCTCTAAAGGGTGTGCAGCGGCTCCAACGTACCACGTTCTTGATGACCTCGTCTTTGCCATCGTGCTTTTGGACTTTGAGCAAGTGGTAGCAGAAGTCGAGCACGTCGAAGCGCCGCTGCTGGCCCAGCAGCACGATGATCATGCAGCCCGCCCAGTGCAGGCCGTCGCCAAAGCACTGTCTGCAAGAGAAACACCACTCGCAGCCGGCTTCTCGCCTACCTTTCTTCAGAAGCATATCCGTAGGGAATGCTGGATGCACCGGCCCTTACGCTAAATAGAGGCACGTGGCACCTAAGAGGACGCTCCACGTTGACCTGTGACATCTCCAGTAAGCGGAGTTGTCTTTTTGCAGCTAGTGCAAGTGCTACGAACGGATGCTGAACAACACGGGGCYTCCCTCACCCAATTTTGTAAGAGTTAGTTACTCCAAAAACATTTCCTTCCCATGAGTCTCCGTGAGACTCTAACGCTACAAAAGAAAACCAAGTGGGAATTTGCCGCCACTAGACTCGTGTGGGTTGCAGAGATGAGAGGTGGCACAAGCCCTAGCTCGCTGCCTCCACAACCGGGCAGTGGAAAGCACATTACAGCTCAGGGCTTTTGTCAAAAACAAGGGTATCGCTAAAAACTAACACAACTTAGGCATTATTGTGGTAGTTTTGTTCTAAGTGCTCGTTCTTGCTGTCCGATGGCAGCCGGTGCCCGCGCGCGGTGCCACCTACTCCACGGTGAACTCGTGCGTGCCCACGGGGATGCAGTAGACGAACTGCATGGCGCTCCAGAGGCGGTGGAACTCCACGCACTCGTCCACGTGCATGACGCCGTTGCTGGGCAGGGGCCCGCGCCAGATGGGGTCGTCCAGGAAGGAGCGGATCCTCGTCAGGATGACCTCGAACATGGAGAGGCCGCAGCAGAGGCGCTCCTTGGTCAGCAGGTCCCCCTCGCGCGCGATGGCGATTTGCTGGGGAGACAGGAGGGGCCCTTTGGGCATCGGCTTTCCAGGAAAGGTCAGTTATAATGACAGCTCAAAGAGGGGCTGACTTACTGGCCCAGAGAAGATAAAACAGTATCTTACAAAAAAAAAAGGTTATATCAGACACAAAACCCAATTACTTTTAGTGGACTAGGAACCCACAGGTTGCCTCTTTTACTTTTTAYGCTAAGAAGGAATCATCTAACATCCATAAACATTAACACTTCCCCCAAGATATATCACCTCAACCCCCRTCTCAAATACTCTAAAATTCAGAGCTCTGGCAGCTTTACTGACTTCACATGCCCAATACAAATCCTTTTTACATGGATAACCCCAACATGCAGGTTGAAACTCTGACACAGGCAAGAGCAACAGGTGAAAMTGGGGAGTTTTAGTGCTCAGCAAGTTCTCGAGCTGCCTCAGACACCAAGGAGCACCGTTTACCTGGGGTGTTCCTAATCTTTCAATGAGAGGAACGAGGTGGAGCGGAGCGTACTTTGATTCTAGCCTCTTCATTTTAGCATCAAGTCTTTCACCCTCTGAAAGAAAAAAAAAATACAGCCCTCTTTCATTTAATTGGTAGCCTACTTCATGCTTAGAAATTGGAATTAAGGGGAAAATCCTTAATAGAAATGTTATTCATTATGGMATAAGACTGGCCAGGCTGCTATTTTAAGAGGCAATTTCAGACCTAAGCAGCTGTTTGCTCCTCAATGTGCTTTTASAAAAACACTTAATTGGAAGGTTACATTGTGCCTTCAAGCAAAAAGAATTCAGGGCTTTGTAGCGGGACTCATTACCTGACTTGACTGAGGACAGGAAACAATTCTCTCTTGTGCTGCTGCTGCTGCAGCTAACGTGTCTGACTCCCACTTGGGCTACGCCAACTACCTCGTGCCCATCACACTGGGAACCCTTGGCTCTGTACAAGGGCGGGATTCGTGCAGAGCAAAAGCAGCTGCTCCATAAAGCAGCCGGCCCCTGGCAAGCAGGAGGCGCTCCCTGCTCCGGGCGGATCCCATCCCGAGGACTGGGTTAGTTCCATGGCGGGAGGCCGAGCAGCTCCGGGGCTGTGTGGGCTGCGAGCGGAACCCCTGGCTGCTTCGGCCAGGGCAGAGGAGTCCTGTGGAAAGACGCCGAAGAGCGGGGGGAATGGAAGGAAATCCCTCCATGCAGGTAGGCAGCAAGGAAGTGATCCTGGGAGCAGCCACCTGGCGTGCTCGGCCTCAGGCAAAAGCCCCTGGAAAGGGAGGCGAGCAGAAGGCTCCTGCTTGTGCTTGCTGCTCCTGCTGGCCCCCGAAGAGTCTCAGGTGTGAAGGTCCACCCAAGTCTACCCATTTACCTGCACAGCACGAGCGCTCAGCAGCACCCGCTGCTGTGCTGCTCACCCCAGGCACCCCCTTGTCCCCGGGCTCCCTATTCCTGACCTCTGCCTCGCGCTGGGCTCGCGCTTCCAGCCGCACAAGCAGAGCCGAGCCAGGACAGCCCCTGCAAACCCGCAGCAGCTCTGCAAGGCGCACCCGGCAGGGAGGGCTCCCTGGGGAAGCCCTGCGGGAGGCGGGGAGCGCGGGGGGCGATGCCGTGGGACGGGGGCGATGCCRCGGGACGGGGGCGATGCCGCGGGACGGGGGCGATGCCGYGGGACRGGTCTCCCTGCGCCCSTACCTTTGACGTGAACTCTGGGCAGGATGTTCTGGAAGGGCGCCACGTGCAGCAGGTCACACACCTCCTCCAGCGACTGCACAGGAAGGAAGGAAGGAAGGAGAGGCACTAAGGCACCGGAATGCCCAAACCAGCGGCTCTGCAGGGGCAGCCTGGGCAGCGGCAGCAGCAGAGGCAGCAGCCTCCTGGCCGGGGTCACACACGGCTGCCCTGCCGCCCTGTGCCGCTTCCCAAGCCTCGGCACTTCAGCAGGTCTCCCAGATTCACAGGGAGCTCCAGCAGCTCCCCGTTGCCCTCAGCTCCGGGGCAGGATATTCTTCAAAGGGACGGGCTCAGAAGGAGTGAGGAAGCCGACGGCTCCAGTGCAGGCAAACAGGGGCGTGAGGGCCGGGATTCCCGCCCTGCTCAGGTATTTCCACCATTCCCACGAGCCCCTGGCATTTCAGGAACATCACCCGGCAAAKGGGCCTGAGAGCCATCCGAGAGCCACAGCAGCGGAGCCCGAGGGAGCGCGGCGGCAGCGCGCGGCTGCGGGCGCCCTCGGGGGCTCGTGGGGCCCRTGCCACCCCGCGAGCTCCTAGCCAGGGCAGTGACCACGTTTCTTTTTATTGCTGCAGGCGCCCCGGGGCGGAACGYCACCGCACCGCGTAACTCCCAGCCCTCCTATGGCCACCAACACTCAGGCAAGATCTGCCGAAGCCACGGAAGAGACCCCGAGGGGCAGTCCGTCTTCAGCATCTGATCCAGCACTGACAGCTTTAACGCTCCCCAGGGGAGAAGGGGCCTTATGTTGGCACTTCTTTGGGCACAGCTTGCTTTATCCGGCCGCGCAGCCTGCGGAGGGGAGGGCGCAGGCGGCTCGTGGCCCGCACACATCGGCACCGCGCACCCAGCGGCAGCCACGGCCACCCCCAGAGACACAAATCACAGAAGGGCTGAGGTTGGAAGGGACCCCTAGAGATCATCCAGTCCAGCAGGGACACCTGGGGCACAGGGCGGCATCCAGGTGGGTTTGGAAGATCTCCAGAGAAGGAGACTCCACAGCCTCCCTGGGCAGCCTGTGCCAGGGCTCTGTCACCCTCACAGGGMAGAAGTTCCTCCTCACCTGGAGGTGGGACTGCCTGTGGTTCAACTTGCCCCCATTGCCCCTTGTCCTGGCCACCACTGAGGCCGGTAAGGAGGTAACAAGTGACCTCGGGGCGCCTGCCAGAGGCGACGCTTCTCAGGTGGCCGAGCCGGGCACGGCCGCGGGCACCAGGGCCCGTGYGACGCTGCAAGGGCCCTCCCAGCACGGGCTGCACTAGCAAACTTGGGACACGCCAGCCCTGCTGCTCCTGACGCCAGGAATAAAGACTTGAGGGCCCTCTCTGGCACGGAGTGGTTTTAAAGGAGCACCTACCAGGCTCTGCTCAATGAGCAGGCAGAAGAGCACAGCATTGCCCACCTCCCGCAGGTTCTGGAAACACACCGTCTTCAGCTCCGCGTACTCAACTATGTCCTTCAGCTGGTGGTGAAAGAATTCCAGGATACCTGCAATCCAGAGAGAAGAGGAAATCTTAGGAGCCGGAAAGTTAGCCTTCTGGTGGTATTCACACAATTTTATTTACTAACTTGAAAACGCAGGAAAAAAAAGAAAGAGATTCTGGTCATGTGGATAACAGCCATATAGATTCGTTTCTTTTTGTTATGAAAACACCCAAGTTTTTTACCAATTAGATTATCCAAATCAATCAATATGCATAAGTATACTGCACCTGAGCACAACAAACCAAGGGTGTGSGTTCACAGCCCTTTCTCCATGTCTCAGCATGAGAATTTTTTTATTTTTTTTTAACTTACACCCAGGGAGCCTCCAGGAACTTGGATGGAGCAGTATTTAGATACCTCAAAAACCAGGAGGCTGTTGGATGTTAAGGCAGGGCTGACCTTGGCAGCTCAGTAAGTCACASGAAACGGAGCCCCTGGGTTCCCCCTCCTGGGAAAGGCCGCCAGCATCCGGGGTTAGAATCATTTCCAGAAAGCAGGAGGGCAGGACAGGGCCCTTATCTGCTACCAAGTCCTGCTCCAGCCTCAGACTCCTGACTCCATTCCCGCCTCACAACCGGCTGTGCCGCCTGGTGCGCTCGGCTCCCAGCTGTTACTTTTCAAGCAGGAAACAGAGCCAGGAAGGAGCTAAAGAGAAGGCGGAGGGCATCAGGCTGGGACCCCGCTAACACCACGGATGCCCGGAGACGATCTGCAAAACATCCAAATATCTAAATGCAGAAACGCCAGGACAAGCACTGCTGGCAAAGGCTTTATGCACCRGTGAGTGTCTCCCAACCCAGAGCGCAGCTTAAATCCCCCCGGGTGCATTCTGAGCTCTACCCACTCAGGCTGTGAAGCATCGACCCGCAGGCCTTGGCGAGCCCGGCGATGCCAGCGCGCCGGCGGCCTCTGCGGGGACACCAACAGCTCCCGGTGCCGGACACTGCAGGGACAGGCGGGACACCAACAGCTCCCGGT